TTTGAAATGGGTACTTTTACTTTTGATACTTTAAGAATATTTTGATGCAAACACTTTTGTACTTTTACTTTAGTAATATTTTAAACTTAGACTTGGAACAGAGTATTTGTACCCTGTAGTGTTGTGATTTTTACTGAAGTAATTAATTTAATATAAAGTAATTAACGCAGAATATCTGAATATTTCTTGAATGAATATTCTGTAAATAAACTGCTAATTAAATACAAAAACCTTCACTTGTGAAGTACCCGCTTCTTACAACAAACACAGAAAGCTCAATCATTTATAAATGTAGTATTAAAGTGAACATACCTGATCAGCTCTCCAAAGCTGCTGTTGTGAATGTGGGAATGGTCGCGGAATGATGACGTAGTTTCAGAGAATTACGGAATCTGACGAGGGACAAAATACTCGGCTACGCGGTTCGTCTATCTGGGACCAGACTGTTTCATTCTCCAGCTCGCTGTCTTTGGTTTTTTAATCAGCCGATAAACACATAAGATGATTATTTTTCATCTGTTAAAAAAATATTATATATATAAATATATATATAAATTTAGATAAAACCTGAATTTTATTTTAAAATAATTAAAATAATTATTGTAGAGGGTTTTGGATAATTTGCAGACGTACAGTAAGGGACCTGTAGATCCTAAAAAAAAGGTTAGATGTGTGCGACACTATCTAAATTCAGGTTGTTGGGTGTAGTGCTGGAACGAAACTATATACATTTACTGAAGTACTTGTACTTTACTGAAGTATTTTGTTCTCATGCCACTGTGGGAGAAAGAGACAAAGATTCTTTCTACAATATAACATTTAACTGCTTTACTAATTAAGACTTTTTTACATACAAAACATATGAAAAGCTTTTAAAATAGATCATATTAAATGAACTAAACAACTCAACAGTTTATACAAGTAGAGCTGAAATGTTTACTTGATTCATTTCTCGACTTACAGAAATTAATTGGAAAATATTTAATTATTAAAGAAGTCATTTTTCATACAACAAAATCCTGGTTTCTGTGCCTTTTAATAATGTTAATGTTTTAGTAATAATGTTTGTTTACGAGTAATAATGTTGAGGTTTGAGGTAAACAATCATTGTGAAGGTGTCACTTTGGGCTCTGGATAACTGTGACGCCATTTCTCACATTTTTAATCAATTAATGGAGAAAATAATCAGCAGATTCATTCGTAGTGAAATAATTCAGAATGAGCGCAAACTACAAAAGTAAGATCCTGCTTCTACATGAATGCACGAGAAACACTAGTCTAAAGATGTAATATACAAAAGAACAGTCACAGTTTGAATACTTCAACTACATTTGACTGATTCTACTGACATACTTTTACTCTCCAACAGAGTATTTGTCCTGTGTGGTATTAGTACTTCCTCTACTCTGTTAATCATCAATAAGTGTACTTTTCCTCCAGATGCTTCTGTGTTGAAGAAAAGCTGCAAACAAAGTGAAATGTTACACGTTAGAAAAGTGAAATCAATAACTATTTCTTCCTAAAACAATGGTTGCACCCTTATAAAAGGAGACGGCGGAGGCCAGAATGTTTTATACAATAACTTTATGTACACTTTTACACGTCATTAACAAAACCAGTTGAGTGCTGTGAACGAGGTTCTCCAACACGATGCTGCGACAAAGTGGCTCTGCTCCTTTTATTTGGTTTGTTGTTGCTGTCCGTCAGCTCAGTCTCTGCTTCCAGTGTGTGTGTGTGTGTGTGTGTGTGTGTGTGTGTGTGTGTGTGTGTGCGCGCGTGCGTGCGCGCTTGCACTGCTGCAGAAAAAATACAACAGGAAGTAAATCTGTTAAACTTTAGCGGTCCGATACTCCGTCGAGCCTTCTGGAGTCCCGGAGGAGGAGAAGAAACTATCGACATAATACTACGATCCAAAACACAGAAGAAGAGAAACATCAGACGCAGGAAGTCGCTCCTCCTTCTTCTTCTTCTCTTCCTGCCGTCCAACTGGCAGATAAAAACATTTCATCATGTTTTTGTATTTTGTTTGTCTCTGAACCAACACTCCTCCTGGTTTCTGACTGTAAAACATTATAATATATTACACCCTTTAGTGAATCAGAGTTTGGTTTTTCTGTCGTCACAACAAACAAACGTCCTCCTGTGCAGCGTGGTCAAGCACCCACCCCCCACACCTCACGTGTGTGTGCGTGCATCCGCTGTATTCTTGGCGAATGGCAGGCACCGCTTGTCAGTTGATGACAAAATAAGAAATAAAAAACCTGCACACAGAGAACAATCATCAAAACAAAGGCACTCTGGGAAGGATTGGGGCGCCGTGTGTGTGTGTGTGTGTCGTGACATTCTTGAAATAAAAAAATGGCCCCTTTTAAGTCTTTCATCTACAAAACCTCACACTGGAGAAAAAAATCTCTCCTGCAATTTTTAAATAACAGCAACTTGTTTTTACCCTCAAAGTCACTCTGAGTGTGTGTGTGTGTCTGCATGCGTGTGTGTGTGTGTGTGTGTGTGTACAGGAGGTGATGGAGGAGTCGACCACCTCCTCCTCTCGTCGCCGTGATCCGTCTGTTGTGTCGGTCGACAGCGACTGAGTCCGTCTGCTCTGCAGTCCAGTCTGCATGGTTCCATCTTCATCATCATCAAGTCTGTCAATCACGCTGGACCGGAGGGGCGGGGATTAAAAGCCAAAAAAAGAAATCCGAGGAGGTGAAAACATTCCGGTATGAGACGGATCCCTCAGCAGGTAGAGAGACAGATATTTCCTCCAGCTGACTCTTTTTACCCAGAGTTCATAGGGACCAAGCAGGAGGAGGAGGGGGGTTATTTCACGCAGAGCAAGCCGCCCACGTTGGCCACGAACTCCTCCAGGCTCTTGAGGAAGGCGACCTTCTGCTTGCGGTCCATGGTGGGCGGCGTGCTGCTCGCCGTCAGCGTGTTGAAGGCGTCGGCGAGTCGCTGGTAGACGACGGCGTCTCGCTGAGAGGAGAGCAGCGTCTCCACCAGCTCAGAGTACTCCGCCTGAAGAAGAAACACGTTTATGTTCATCATGCTTTAAAACATCAGCCCCTCACTTCCTGTCACCTCTGCACTTCATAATAAAAGCCATAAAATGAGAATAAAATACTTTAAACTGTTTATATCATGCGAGTGTAAAATACATTATCAGCTGACTAATTGTTGGCTTCAAAAATCTAGTATTTTATACTTTATAATATTGTGTATTATATATACTTTATAATTTTAATGATGTGTTTTGGAGTTATGCGCTATGACATAGATCGGCCACTAGAGGGCAGCTCAGTCCTCACGTAACAGTATTTATTTAAACTTAAATAAAGAATGACAATTATTAAAAAGTCTGAATCATAAAAACAAGTTGCGTTTGAATCTTTAATGAACTTAAATCTAATCAAACCTCATCGACTGGACCACAAATAGAACGTAAAGACGTTTGAACTATTGTAGGAAGATAAAGAGATATTAATAATAATAATAATAATAATAATAATAAAGAGATATAAAGTCACCTGATGCAGGCACACGAGTGTGTAGAGAGCTTCTCCTGCTGCCACCGTCATCTCTGTGTTGTGTTTCTGCAGAACCAGCATGTCAAACACCAGCTGGAGGCACAGACGAGGAAACGTACAGCGTTAAAGGATTTAGAATTATTATCAAACAAAAGAGTTAATATCTTAATCAGTGTGCGAACAACCTGTCCACTCATAGAAATAATCTGACCTTTTATACATGCATCTACTGTCTTGCAGAGAGTTAGAGACTCTAATGTCTGAACGGTGAATATGAAGCTCCAGTTAGCAGCTGGTTAGCTTAGCTTAGCACAAAGACTGGAAACAGAGGGAAACAGCTAGCCCGGCTCTGTCCAAAATCTGACATTTACGTATTTAAACACATTCAGACGACTTGTAATACAAAAGAGAATCGTCTTAATGTAAGAAATCAAATGAGGAAGTTTCATGTTGATGTATATTAGTTCATGTTTGTTACCTCTTCACCTTATAGCGTCTTTTATTTACTTTATCACAAGACTTCGTTGTCTTTGTTGTGATTTACTTGTTTGAAAAAAGTTGTCTTTGATTAAAATATATTAACTCACAAGGCTGCAACTAATGATTATTTTCATTATGGCCTTTTCGATTAATCATTTGGTTTAAAATGTCAGAAAAAAGTGAGAAACGTCCAGTTTCTCAAATATTCACTTAAAACAGATATAAATCAGATAATCTCCACATTTAAGAGGCTTAAAAACTGCATTTTTGCGTAATAAAGTTATTGTTGCAGCTCTAAATCTTACTTTGAGGAAGTGCCGTGTGGCGATGAAGAGGGGCGTGTCCTTCTCCTGGTTTTTGGCGCACTGCTCGGCCAATGGAGACAAAGCCTCCAAACACAGCTGGCTGATCTCTGAACTCATCCTGAACAGATGTTAAGGAGCACGAACCGCCAGAGCAGACATCTACCAGATTATGAATCCAGAAGGTAATTCTCTTCATATTCAGCCATGAAGTGACCGAACACCGTTCTCATGCGTCCTGAATAAAGCATTCAAACACAGCTGGGGGAGGATACGAGGTCATGCCCAGCTCCAGAGAGAACATGAGGCTTTTGAAGAGGTCTTCAGGAAGCTGAGGGATCTTTTCTGGAAAGATCTCACAGATGAAGGTGATGAGCTTGTAGTACTGGTTACACAGGGAGGGGAACTGGGAACAACAGGGAGGACAACACAACCACATTATGAACAACAGCATACAGGTAGTCAAGTATCTATCATCTATCTAACTCTGTGTTTGTGAAGACCGTCATTCATTCACCACAAAGGACGGCCATTAACTCCCATCAAACCTCTGAAGAGAGAGACGAGTAATGTCTCTACAATATAATATATTTGTTTATTTTGTCGCTTTAAAGAAATAGTTTCTATGAGATTCTGAAAAGTCGTTAAATTTGGCGAGAAATCAGCCAAGTTCGCTGTTTTTTTTCCCTCCACTAACTATCGACGTCTGTCCAACATTTCATCACTTCATCCTTTTAGATGTTTGTGTGAAATTGTCATGAACAGCAGATGAATTCTTCAGTTATGACCAAAATAACCCAAAACTTGAAGAACATAATGATGAAACCACGTGTGTGTGTGTGTGTGTGTGTGTGTGTGTGTGTGTGTGTGTGTGTGTGTGTGTGTGTGAGAGAGAGGTTCAGTTGTACCTTCAGCAGGTCCTGAGACATGAGCGGGAGGACGATGTTGACGCCGTAAAGAACCACGTCCGCTGCCGACACCATCCGACTGGACGCCGGCGTTCCCTGGTCCTGGTTTCTAAACACCTCGTCTACAAAACACACAAACATTTGAATCTCAAGCAACATGAGGCAACGTGAACAAAGAGAAGAAGACGTCAACTTTCTCCTCTTTGTAAATATCTAAAGACAGATTCAGAGTTATTATTCTAAACTAAAATGAAAATAAGCAGCGAAAATGTGGTGAAATGAAACTAAATACGTTTAAACACAAAGTGAACAAACTCCAGCTTCCAGCAGATGGCGCTGTGTGTCACAACTGCTCCACATTTAATCCCCATTGTTCCTTTAACATGCAGCCTGTTCATGTAGAATAACCATGTACCATGTACTGTGTTTATATATGGAGATAAATACTTCTGTAAAACTAAGAGGACGTGATGTTTGAACTCACCGGTGTCGCTGAAGTCGATGAACTCCTTGGAGAGCAGGTTGGTGAGCAGCTCCATGATGAGCAGCAGGTCCTGGTACTGGTCCTCCTCCGCCGTGGCGTCGTTCCGCTTCCTGTTCTGGTTGTTTTTGGAGTAAACCTGCAGCAGCGTCAGACACACCTCGTACAGCTTCATGGACTTCGTCTGGACCAGGAGACGGAAGTTACGGTTAGAAACTCAGAAAGAGACGTTGACATGAAGCAGCAGAGGTTCTGTGACTACTTGAACTAAATGTTTCCCGCCACAGACGGACTGAAATACATCGTTTTACGTCTTGATTTCATACGTGAAAGATCTGGTTATAGCACCAAGTGAAGACTCGACAGCTTACACAGAAGAACCAGTTATAGGGTTGAAATATGAAAAGTAAAATGAATAACAAAGTATTTTAAGACCCAAGTTTAAAAGGAAATAATATTAGAAACAGGATTGTGCAGCTCAAATTTATGTTTATGTTCCAGTCTCTCTCATGATCTCAAAAAGCTTTTAAAATGAGTCCCGACAGTTTCCTTCACGTTACGTCTGATCCTCCATCAGAGAGGAACCACTCGAGGAAAAATGTCCTCAGTAAAACTATTACCATCATCTTATAAAGGGACCATAAAAAGAGCAGAAGTGCATCAACGCTGAAGCAGATTACAGTTCTGTTTCATTATTATGATCTTATTCAGATAAAGTCATGAACTGAACTATTCACAGATCATGAACATGAGTCCCTCACCTCTCCCAGGTAACAGATCTGCTTGTGAGCCACTTCCACAAAAACCTCGATGATGAGGTTGATCGTCTCGGGCGTGTTGCTGTAAACCTGAACAACAGCAAACGAACAGAAGTCAGACTACGGTTTAAAAAGGCCTCTTCCATCGCCTTCATTTCTCCGTTCCTCCGACTCCGCTCTCACCTCCATGAGGCCGATGCAACTGGACAGGAAGTCCATGAGGAAGGAGAAGAGCGAGGCCACGTTGTCGATCTGCGTCGCCTCAGCGATGCCGCACAGCGCCTCCAGCGTGGCCACGATTTCCTGCTTGACGGCCTCCTCCTGGCTGATCTGAGCGAAGTTCTCCTGGTTGATGAGGTTGAGGAACCGCTGCTGGAGAGGATGAAGCACCTGGACGGACACAAGAAGGGAGTCTGAGGTTAGTCTACAACATCAAGACGGAGTCACTTCTTCATTTCAGTGGATATCTTCACTGTATTATCACACTTAATGGGACTTCTGGATGTTTTATTGTATATTAAGGTGCAGCGTTCGCTCTTCTAGCACGACGAAAAAACAGCTTTACTCGAGTATCTCCTGTAGCTGCAGAACAAGGAAATAGTCAAGTACTTGTACCTTGAATTTGTACTAGAGTACAGTGCTTTGAGTAGATGCACTTTGTAGTAGTGGTGACGTGTGACTAACGAGTATACAAAGTATCTAAAGCTGGTTCCACATCGACAAACTACGACATTAACATGCTCTTAAATTCATTAGAGTGAGACTGAACAGACTCGTATAATAATAACATACTTAGAGTACTTAACTTTTACTGAATATACGTTTATACTTAAGTAATATTTTGAATGCAGGACTTTACTTGTACTTAAAGTTTATTATTATACTTTTATGTAGTATTTCTCACACCACTGCTGTAAAGACACAAAAGACATTTTAAGAAGGATTTTTTACTAATTTAAAACATTATGGTTTTATTGTTTCATGTGTTTATGTATACGTTCCATTTCTTTCTTATTGTATTCATGTTATTTTGTATGTATTCATGTTTACTTAAAGAGAACAGAAGCGTGACGATATTAATATTTTGTTATCTTAAGATGAATTAAGATCTTAATATTAAGATCTTGATGCTTCACAATAAAAACATCTGAAACAGAAATAAATACATAAATATTACGGCTTCATGTCGACCTGCAGCCGAACAGACGGGAACATCAGCCTTCAACTGTCGTACGATCTCAAACTCAATCTGAGCTCCTGATGATCGATTCAAGACTTCATGGTTCAAGTCAGAGAACGAGGAGGAGGAGAGATGTTTAGACAGGTGTTGGGTCCATCTCTCCTCCTCCTCCTCCTACGACCAAGTTCAGACAAAGCAGCTGCAGGATCCAACAGCTGCCGTCTCACTCCTCTCACTCCTAACACCCCCCCCCCCCTTTAATTACTCTGGAGTCATCGTGGCTTTGCACCCACATTTACCAGCGTCAGCCTATTAAGACTAAAGACCTCCAGGATCACATAGAGGATCATGTTCTACAGGCGGGAGGAAGACTTCATCCATCTCTCCTCCTCCGTCCTCACTGGAGGCTGCACAACCAAGAATTATGTAGTTATAAAGATAATTAATGTCAATAAAAACTACAGAAAAGATCAGTTTTGTTTAAATGTAACTCAAACCGATCAATAACTTTATTGAGCGTTTGTGAGTCGACAGCGTTTCCATCCAAAGATAAACTTCATGTTTCCTCCATCGAACAGCAAACAAGTTCAATAACTGTGTTTGTCCAGTTAAATCAGATTATAGCTCACAGGGTGTGATTTAAATTGAGTTTCATATTTATTATCATCATTATCTACCCGACATCTTCCTCCTTCTCAGTTTAATGAAAACTTAAGTAAAGAAGACGAAACATTATTAAAGGTTGACTCATTAAATTCTCATTTTAAGAAGCTGTTTTTAATCATTTAAATATCTGAGTTTTATTGTTTTCATGTATTTATTTTATTTATTTATTGACATTTTATTGATTGATTTATATGGAAAAGAAGTACGGCAGCTCCTTTTGTATAAAGATTGTACTTTATAATATAATATAATTCTACTCTTAGAACACAACAACACTGCTGCAGTGAGGTCCAACAGGACAAGACAGACAAAGACACTTCATGTTTGTATTAATCTATTATTACATGAGAGAGTTGTTTAAACAATTTACTGACCTGGAGATTTGTTTACAGCCGGTCTGATCGTCCGATTCTTTTTAGTGACGTTGCAGTTTTGCCAGATCTTAAACTCTTTAAGTTCAATAAGTTATTAGTTCCCATAGAACCGTTAAAAACGACATAAACAGGTTTTAATCACAGCTACAGAAAAGAGTCTGGACGTTCTGTTGTTTATAGAATTGAATTGAATACGTCATTTACAGGCTGTGTGATTGTTGTGGGTCTGCGTCTCATAAGCAGCTGTTAAAACAGAGAATTTAATAAGTCTGGTCCCGCCTCGTGTTACTGTTCCTTTAAGGCGGCTTTTTAGGCCATTCTGCACCGAACACCTTCACTAATGTTAATGTACATTTATAGTTAAATACTGCTGAGTATCACGCATCCATGTGATGATTTGTTCACTGATATTTCTGCCAGTTTTAAGATTTAAACTTCCATAACTGTTGTGTATGGTGTGCTGTCTTATAATCAAATCTAATGAACGCGTCATTTTAATTGATCTTTTTTTTAGGCTTATTTGTCTGCATTAGATATTTTAGACCAGAAGACAGAGAGACATAGTATTTAAGCACTAACTGTCTTTATTATTCACTTTAAATATCTCATGTATGCATTTATTATGGGCCTGTTATTTCAATCATTGATAAATGAATCAGTTTGTGTACCTGTTAGTACAAACATGCTGCTGATCTCTTCATCCTTATTCTCACACACACACACACACACACACACACACACACACACACTCTCTCTCTCTCTACCTCGGCCCAGTACTGCTGCTTGGCGTCAGAGTCCATGTGAGCGAAGCCTCCGAGCACCAGAGCTTTCATCAGAGACCTCTGGACGGAGCTGGACAGCAGGTGGAGCGGCGGGCTGCGGCTGGCGAACTGTTTGGCTAAATTCCACCAGCTCTCACACTGAACCACGACATTCGCCCTGAACACAGAGGAGGAGGAGGAGGAGCAGCTTCTGTTAACAGGCTGAAAACATCTGCACTTTCACCCAAAAGGCCTCAGAAATCAGGCAACCTTTCAGACAACGTAATGCCTACTTTATTCTTTATTCTATAATGCGTTAAAAACATACTTAAAAACTTGTTCTAATCTGCTAATAGCACGATGTAATTCAAGTTATAAGAACTTAACTTCATTAATCATAACGTATTATAAAGCATTTTTTAACGACTTCAGATCAAGTATCTTAATACTTCATAACTGGTGGTCACTTACATTTTTTGCAAGGATCATTGAGTATTATTATAATACATTATAATCTTTTTATAATGCAACATAATGTGATAATATTTGAAAAACAAGCAGATGTTGAACTGTTGCATTACAGGAAACATAGGATCGAGCATTAAGAATAACTCTATAGAAACAGACCATCTTCGCTCTGATGGTCTCTTTACTGATGGAGGTCTGATAGAGGATCAGGACTACACTGAGACTGGTTCATATAGAGCACACGTGTCAAACTCAAGGCCCACGGGCCGAATCCGGCCCGCCACGTCACTTTATGTGGTCCGCGAATCCGCCAGCAAAAAATAAAAATAATACAGTATATATATATATATTTTAATTTTTGAAAAAAAATTTAAAGTTAGACTTGAAAATAAAAGTATCCCCATGGTCGAAATTATGAGATAGAAAGTTGAAATTATGAGACAGCATGTTGTCTGTGTACCGACATTAAAACTATCACAACAGGTGGACAGGAGAGGGAACAGCCCGTAAAGAGGTTTTCCAACAAGTGACTGAGTTGAAAAAGATCGACAAATAATCCCAAAATGTCCACGGAGAGAAAAATTGCTGCAGAGGGAAGAAGATGTAATGAAAGATGGGAAAGAGAATACATGTCTGTGCTTCAGGGAGGAAAACAGGTCTGTCTTCTGTGTTATGATGCGTGTCGGTGATGAAGGATACAATTCACGTCGGCATTTTGACACCAAACACGGAGCTAAATTTAGCCTCCAAGAAAAACATCAAATTGTCCAAGAATTAAAAGGCAGAGTGCAATCACAGCAGAATATATTTACAGAAGCTACAGCCCAGTGCACGCTAAAGGTCTGTGAGCAGGTGAGCTCCGATCAGATACAGACTTTTACAAATGTCAGTTTGTGAAGAAACACCATCGCAGACCGAGTTCAGGAACTAGCAGCAATCTAACAACACAGCTAGCTCAGAGACGAGCAGGCACTCGTCTTCTTCATTAGCTGTTGATGAAAGCACAGACAACACGGACACAGAGCATCCATCCGTGTTTATAAGACCTGATCTCAGTGAGGAGCTCTTGGATGTAGCTGCCATGCACGGGACGACGACGGGGACATTAGTGATGCAGAGAGGTGACAACAATAGCTTTGAACAAAGTTATTGTAATAACTTGTGTTTGATGATATTTGTCTTTGTTATTTTCTTTAATAGTTTGATCTTTGATAGAGTAATGTGGGTTTCTTAACCCTAAATTAAAATGATTTATGTTATAGTAACAGAAATGTGCTTAAATATCATTTTACATTTATATAACTGCATGTACAATATCTTTACACTTGAATAAACAATAATCAAATGCAGAGACAGTTACCAATATGATACCAATATGATACCAATATGTTAGGAGTAGTTACAGTCTTACAGTTACAACCGGCCCTTTGAGGGAAACCATGACGCTGATGTGGCCCGGAGTGAAAATGAGTTTGACACCCCTGATATAGAGGATCAGGACTACACTGAGACTGGTTCATATAGAGGATCA